AATGTTTTGCTTTAGGTTATGTATTTTGTGTGCTTATGACTGATTGAGAATTACTAAAACTTTGATAGAAAGAAATATAATTGAACAAAAGTGAAGGGAGAAATAATGAGAAATTTGGAAAAGATATATGTGTAAATGGAAATGTGATAATGTGGAACTATGCTTTAAAAAATAATGCTTTATTTGCCTTGTTAAAATTTATAAGTAATTCTTAGAAAGGAGGTTTTATACTTTTATGTGTTATGTTTTGTTTGTCTTCAAAAATCAATAAAACTTGTTCTTAAAAAAAACAATATTCTTTTACACCATTCATTCACAATTTTTAATTAGCTGTATCTTTTTTATACTATGGTATATTGTATCCTACAGACACAGATATTCTTGAAATTGAGTTTTTACTATAGTATCCCTGCACAGCCAATGCATTAATATGTGCTTATATGCTTTGCTAGTGCTTTGGCTGTAGACTACATGAAAGCTCAACTTCAAAACATTATTTACTTGGCCACTTGTCTCCCCCCATCCTAACCTACTTTATCAGGTTGCAAAGAAATTCAAAATTGGAGTCATTTATGCAACTTTTAGCGGAGAACAAAACTATTTCTGTAAAATTATTAATATTATACAAAGATGGCAATATTACCCTGATATTCCAGAAAGATGACAAACAGATGTATTTGCACCTAGGCCCACATAAGTAATTCCAAAGTTCATAACACAACAAATCTCTTCATCTTCACATTGTCACCAAATACATTTTTAAGGAATGTTTAATAAAATGACGTATCTCTTTGCATATTGTAAAATAAAAATTGATTTTAAGTATTTTATCTCATTTATGAATGAATAATTTCTTATAAAACTCAAATGAGAACTACTTTTTCTTTTGTGTTCAGATAATTATCTGTTCCATCAAATATGAATACTACGTGGATACTTTTGAAAAAAAGCAGAAAATATGATTGGGGCCTTAGATTCATATATTTACATTAAAAAGTGACAATTGAATAAATAGAACTTTTGTAAAAGATTGGTACAGTATTTGCTTTGAACTTGTGTAACTTTTTTAGTCAAATATGCATATAATAAAATGTCAGATTATTTGTTCATGTAATCCAGTAATAGCAATCCAAGGTTCATTTTTGACCCCTTAATTTTTAAATGAAATATATTACTGATCAAATCTTGGCTGATTGGCCAGATATTCTACTGTGATTGGGAATCTGGCAACATGCAAGTTTAATTAATACATAAATATTATTCAGTTATAATCTTCTTCATAAAGAAAGCTATATAATCTTTCAGATTTGCATATATGGAAACTTAGTTTTGAAGCTTCAGCAAAACTCAATCAGGTAAAGTCCCTTTACCTTCCCAGAAAAATAAGTCTTAATATTTTAACTCAGTGCTAAACAATCAAATAAGATCTATTTTTTCTGAGTAAAGATTCAGATAATAAAGGTTAGGATAAAGATCAGAATTAAATTAGGAATACATTATACTTTCAGGTAGTTTTGATGTGTAGGAATGCATCCTTCAAATGAATACGCTCATTTTCATAATATGAAAATAATTGTAATATTCCTCAATATTGTAAATCTAAAAAAAATTGTCAAATTTCAGGGTATGGTTAGACTCAGAATTTACCTATCTGAATGTTCTTTTCTGCAAAATGTATATTTGCATATTTGTATTTGATTATGCAAATGAAAAGGCCTGTAGTGACACAATTTCTCTAACATATACTTTTCTGAATGTATTGCCTGGGAGCAGGGGATGTGAGAGAAAAGCATTCACTGTTAAAGAGGTAAAATCCTATTCTTATTTCCTGTCTCTCTATAGCAGACAGGTACCCTAATAGTGAAAAAACTGACTTTCTGTGATTTACATAACTAGCTTAAGTCAAGAATAAGAAAATATTTAACATCTGTTTGAAATGTAAAGGTAAGCTACATTTTTCTCAGTTTAGTTCTATTAGCAACTACAACCTTTCTAGTTGGTAGGAAAAGTAGCAAAGTATTTTTTAAGTTGATGAATGCTGTAAAGTTAGTCCTAGGCCTAGACTAACTACTGTAATTAACTCTGGAATTACAGTGTAAGTCATTGCACTCATTAGTTAAGGCATTACCTGATGAGACACATTTTTTTACGGCTGTTCTTAAGAAAATCAATTTTCCCCAATGGATATTTCTACAAGAAACTGAAAGTAAATACTGGAAACTGACAAAAATATGTTGCAAATCATGGTCATATATGGCTGCAAGGTGCTCCAAACAGCTGTAAATGTGAGCCAGTTGCCTAGTGCCCCAAATGCAAACTATAACTGGGGGCAGCCATTTTAATTTCGGAAATGGGTTGTAAGTAGCTTTGAGGGGGGAGGGGAATCCATCATAACTTCAGAAACTCTTAGTCATGTTAAAGACTACCTGTATATTTGTCATCTCATATTTTGGGAATGGCCCCTCTTGCTGTTCATTCAGCTAATAGTTTGGACATATGCTGTGGCAGAGACAGGGAACTTCTGTCTCTCCAGATATTGTTGAACCAATACTGTTGACATCCTTCATTTTTGCCCATGCTAGGTATAATTAATATTTGAAGAGTCAAATCCCCAAATTCACTATTTCTAATAACAGAAATGTGCATCTTTTTACCTACTTTATATTTAAACATTTCAGATTGGCTAGGTTGCCAAGACTTGAACTGAACATCTAAAGAATGAACCTCTTTCTCCATTAAAAGAGTGATCTCAAACTATTGAGCCCATGAGAGCCTGCAGCCTTTCATGTCATTTGTCATATTTCACTGACACAAAGCAGGAAATATATAGCAGAGGTGGCTCAGTAGCTTGCTGAATCTGGCATAAAACTTTCTGGGCCATTGCCAATCCCTTTCCTACCCCATACTATCTGCTCTGGCTTGCCACCAAATTATGGTATCGGGCTTTTGAGTATGTAGAGGATTGAACACTCTGTATTAGTTAAACCGTCTGGTTCTGCTGTCCATCCCTTTCTCAACATCCATAATTACTGGGACAGGTGGAATTGGCTGGTGATTTTGTTAGATGGCTAGATATGTAAATATAGCCATCTATCAGAAATACTGAATTTCCAAGTTCGTTATCTCAAAATCTGTGGTTGCTTCCTCAAATGCTGCTTGATGGGTTTTGTACCTCACCTGAGAAGGGGAAAGATGGAAAGTATAAGCGGGGAAAGCCCAAGATCTTAGGGAAAAGGAATGGTCAATAGGTGCTATACTGTCCTTCTTCCTCTACAATCACCTAAATACACAATAAAACAGCAAAATGTTTACCTTGTTCTTGTTGTAGGTTGTTGCTGGCATAAATGGCAAAACACTTATCTTAAAACCTAGATAGGTAAGGATGACTTAAGCCTGGCTCACTCATGGGTGGTACATTGCAGAATAAGGAAGCTGCCAGGGTACATTTGTACCGTGGCTAGATAATAAGTTGGCTTTTTGACAAGATAAAGCAGCAGGAAAAGCATTTTGACAAGATAAAGCAGTATTTTCATTCTATATTTTCTTAGCTTTCACTAGATTTCCAATTATCAGTTTTATAATGCACTGATTAACTAAGACTAAACTTTACCTCCTAAACATTAAAAAAAAAGTATTCTTTTGTGTAGTTAGATGGGGGAGGGAACCTTTGAAGTAGGGAAAAGGTCAGTATCCTTCCACACCAGGATAGATAAGAAACAGATATAAGTTGTCAAAAAAAAAAGTTTTTTCAAAAGTCAAGACACAAATAATTAAGTTGTTTGGAATTACTAAAATTTATTTATTTATTGAACGTATTACTCTTGTAAAAGAGTATGGAGAACTGTAGCATGGAGAGGGGAAGGAGAACAACTTGAAAGGAGCCTATGCTTTCAGCTGGAAAATCTTTCATTTTGATCCAGGTGAGGAACGACGTGGAGAAAAAAACGCTATATACTCAAGCCGCTTCTCTGAAACCGACCTGCTGTCAGACTCGGGAGGCCTTACTGTTGCGAGCGATCACACCACCTCGGAGGGCTGGCCCGCCTAGTAATGTCACCCCGCACCTTTCTCCGCGCACTCCGTCCAGGAACTAAAAAGTGGGAGGAGAGGAACAAGACGCCTCCATCTAACTAATTTGGAGGGTCCTGGCAGTCCAACCCCCGCAGAAGCCCGCCTCCTTCTAGTGCCTGCCCGGTTGCTCTTTGGACTGGGCATATGCCCGACATCAGAGCCGAAAGTCGGCGCTCGAAAGTTTCCGCTCCTCCTCACGGCCGCACGAGGAGCCAGGTCCGTGGGAGTTTGGCGAGAGGAATGAAGCGAAGCTCCAGCACTCCCGGGAGACGCAGCGCCGCGCGCCAAGCTTAGCCCGTGTGAGTGGGTGAAGCAGCACGTGCCGGGTGGGCGGGGTTCCGTTGGCAGAGGACGTTGATTTTATGAGGCAGAGTTGTGATGGCGGGGGGAGGGGGAGAGAGAGAGAGAGAGAGAGAGAGAGAGAGAGAATGCTCGGCACGGCGGAGTGGGTTGGGTTGCCAGAGAAACGCGACCTCTTGTTGTCTCCGCCCCCGCCCCGCCACGCCTCCCGCTTCAAAGTCAGTAACCCGAGCTGGAACTTTCCGCGGAATTCAGCTGGCCTTGAAAAAGAAGCCGGTCTTCTTGTGCAACGAGTACATATCCCTCCCTCCACTGATTGAGGGAAAGGAAGGGCCGGCTTTCTTAGCCCGTGGAAACGGGAGCCTTTTGCCCTAGGGCTGAGCGAAGGAGGGTGGGCGATGTGAAAGAAGGTACCATCCTTTTGATTTCTGTGAAATCTGAAGCTTTAACCAAGAACCCTAACCAAGAATCCAAAGCTGTGTCATATTCGCGCCACCCTCGCTCCTTTCCTGAAAATCAATGAAAACTACCGTATTGTTTTGCATGAAATTAATCTCGGTTCTGCATTTCATGAAATGGGACTTGAAGCAGGACTTTAAATGTGCGTGGTCAATGTTTGAAACTTCACTATTTAAAGGGGAGTGAAATCTCAGAAGAAGTGCACTTTACTGTATTGGACAAGGTATATATAGTGAGAGACAGGTTTAAATTCCCCCTTGATCAAGGAGATCATTCTCACACTATTAATTCACCCCATCGGGTTGGCAAGAAGATAAAATGAGGGGATACAGCATACCTTCTGCCTTGCGACCCCAGAGCTCAGGGCGGTAAATAAAAAAACCCCAGTAGCTTCTGGCTCAAGGTGGAAAACCTACACAAACCTACTGCTTTGCATAGCCTGAGGACTAGGATCATTGTGTGGAGTGACCTTTCTCCAAAGTCATCATATGGACACTTGAATCCATATTGGATTTAATTTGATTTAATGCATGTTTCTGAATACATATCAGGAGGATCAGTGCCCAAAAGGGGGGGGGTAGGAGAAGAAAGGGGGCATGCATAAGCGCACCAACGTGCCTACAGTCCCTGTCTTATTGTTTCTTTTATTTATTTTTTATTTTTCTTCTATGTATCCATGTATTCATAACTATGTTTTTTACTTATACCTATTATCTTGTAAGCAATTGACAAAAATAAATAAAAGAAGTGGGCTGGTTTAAAAGTGAATGGGGAAAAAAAAAACCAAAATACCTAAATCAAACTTAGTTTTGTCTTTTTGAAAGAACTCATACCAACCTACCTTGGACATTTCCATTCTCCTGATACCCCACAGTTCTCCAGAAGGTCTATAAAAAGAGAAATACAACTAGTGAATAAGAGGTAATGTTGAAAGTGGTTTTGCTTTTGAGAAATACAAAGTAATAGATGAGTTTTGCCACAATTCGATGAAATGTGAGTGAGGAACTACAAAGTATTTTGTTTAACAATCCATTAAGTGAGAAAATTTTTCAGTGGGAGTAAAAGTTTCAAAATAACCTAACACTAACCTAACAGTTTTTTCCCAAAAGCCATCACTTTGGTAAACAAATAATTCCCTCAACCCTGTCCAACTATTACAAAGTCTGCACTACTATTACTTTTAAATTTTCTCATCACTCCTTATCACCCATCCCCTCCCACTTGTGACTGTATGACTGTAACTTTGTCACTTGTATACTTAAGATTTATATTGACTGTTTCCGAGTATGACTGATTGCTTATTGTACCCTATGACTATCATTAAGTGTCATACCTTACGATTCTCGACTCCTGATGAATGTATCTTTTCTTTTATGTATACTGAGAGTATTTACACCAAGACAAATTCCTTGTGTGTCCAATCACACTTGGCCAATAAAGTATTCTATTCTATTCCAACCATTAAAAGAAATTCAAATTTTATGTCTTTTATCCTGCCTCTCCCAATATTTCAATTTTTGTGCTTAAAATGTATGATTTAAGCCATTTTAAATGATACAGTGACTTAAATACAATTTTATATCGTACATTACTATATATTCTTTTTGTGTTACATTTCATTTTATTAACATCATTTTTCCCTTTTTAGGTCAGAATATTTGGACCCATATTGACTACATCTGAAATAACACAGGAAATAATGTCTTTCTTAATCAAAGGTGCTCAAAAGCATGGCTTTATTTGTCAAACCCACAAAGAATTATTCAAAAGATGTATACTGAAGAGTTCAAAAGCTTTTAATGGACAAAAGATGAGATCTTCACAACCATCCTCTCCAGTTAATTCTAAAAATATGGACTCTTTCAATTATATAATAGTCGGAGCTGGGTCTGCAGGATGTGTTTTAGCCAACCGATTGACTGAAGATCCTCACAACACTGTGAAGCTACTTGAAGCAGGTCCAAAAGATACTGTTTTAGGTAGCAAACAATTATTGTGGAAGATTCATATGCCTGCTGCTTTAACTTACAATCTCTGTGATGAGAAATATAACTGGTACTACCATACAACACCACAAAAACACATGGATAATCGGATCCTGTATTGGCCGAGAGGACGAGTCTGGGGTGGTTCCTCATCCCTCAATGCCATGGTGTACATTCGAGGCCATGCAGAAGATTATAACAGGTGGAGCAAAGAAGGGGCTGTTGGATGGGACTATGAGTTCTGTTTGCCGTATTTTAAGAAAGCACAAACTCATGAGTTGGGGGCTGATCTTTATCGAGGAGGGGACGGCCCACTTCATGTGTCAAGGGGAAAAACAAAAAACCCTCTTCATTGTGCATTCCTGGATGCAGCTCAGCAAGCTGGGTACCCTTTCACAGACGATATGAACGGTTTTCAACAAGAAGGCTTTGGCTGGATGGATATGACCATATATAAAGGTTAGCTTTGACATGTTCAATTTAGAAGCCATGTTCTGCAGTAGCCATGCACACTAGTCATTGTAAATTCTTACAATGGTTTGGAAACTTTTTCATAATAAAAAAAAGCCCATAATTGCTGATGTTTTCTTTTAAGGGCCTAATAACGTGAGTTGAGAAAGAGTTTGGACTAGACCAGAGGTGTGAAACTTTGGGGGAGGGACAAGGGTTATTCCTGGTATTTGAGTGGAATATTGAGGGCTGTATATCAAACCTAAATTTCATTTAATTTTTAAATTTAAATGACATTAGGTAATTGAACTAACACTCCCAAAATGTTTAATAATACAAATAATCCTCAATTTACAATGACAATTGAGACCAGAATTTCTGTTGCTAAGCAAGTTGGTTGTTAAATGAATCACACTCAATTTCACAACCTTTTTTTGTGCTATTGTTGTGAAGTGAATCACTGCTGTTGCATATTTTTATATATATCATATTTAGAGATGGCCTATTGCCATCATAGAATGACTCCAAGTCAGGGGTCTTCAAACTTCACAGCTTTAAGGCTGGTGGACTTCAACTCCCAGGATTCCTCCTCCAGTCATGTTAGCTCAGAAATTCTGGGAGTTGAAGTCCACAAGTCTTAAACTTGCCAAGTTTGAAGATCCTTGCTCTAAGTGAGTAAATGGTCATTAAGCAAATACAGCTTCCCCCATTGACTTTGCTTGTGGAAGCCAGCAAGGAAAGTTGCAAATTGTGATTACATGGTTGTGGGACACAGAAATGGTTATATTAAATATATATATGCCATTTGCCAAGCACCTAATTTTGATAATGTAATTGTGGGGATGCTGAGACAGGGGTGTGAGTCAATCTTTTCAGTGCCATTGTAACTTTGAATGACCCAAAAACAAATCTTGTGAATCGAGGGCTATCCATATTAAGATTTTGTAAATAATTTTATTTAATAGAAAAATGAGAAACTTTCTAAATTTAATTATTAGTGTGAATTTATCAGTGAAAAGTCAACACAGCGACTGATATATTTATTCCTGGTCTGAGGGTTGATAGCATCAGCCACAGTTTCTCCTCAGCATAGATTGTTTTGGACTATTAAAGTAGCAGCTTCCAGAGAAATGTGTCAAAACAGGCAACAGGACAGAGGTGATGTTGTGATGCAAGCCTGTCCCTTTATAAACGCATATGTGACATTGACACATATACAAAAGGAGTACTGTGTGCATCCTAAAGCTATTTCCCCATTTTTGCCTGTTTTGACACTTTCCGCAGAAACTGCTCAATTCAAGTTAACTCTTCATTTCAAAGTACAACTGTGAATAAAATAAAACAATTATAGCATAAACCTTATACCAAGTAACAATGGATTTTAAATATTCATTATGGAAGAACTTACTTTGTAGGATACATCATAAAATTAACGTTTCTGATAAGTTTATCTGTCTTGTAAAATGCTCTGGACAAAAATCAAAGTTGAAGTATTCCTCCTACCAGCATAGTGCCTATACATATACCTAACAAAATTTCCACAAGGAAATGCTTAATCTTGATAAATCAATATGAACATGGGATTAAATTAACTTATTTATGTTTTCAGTTTATATAGTTTTTATTTTTTATTGTAAGCCGCCCAGAATTAGCCTGAGGTAAGATGAGTGGCCTATTCATTTTATAAATAAATAAATTATAAATTCATAGCCAGTATTAACTTTATTCATTTGCTGGTTCACTGGAAATGTTTATTTTGGCTGACAGCTCAGTTTCTTTCCACGTTAAATACACAGTAGAACACAACTGAATGATAGCACATTAACCATCTGGTTTTCGTTTAACTTGTTTCTTTTTTAAAGGTTGTGTGGAAAGGTAGATACTTCTTTTGCCAAGGCAAGAGGTTTGGCATACAAATCCAGAACTGAGACTTAAAACTGTTTTTGCTTGATCCTTAGATAATTGTAATTGTCTACAATGCAGCTGTTAAAATTGAAATAGATGCTAGAATATAGCAACAATGTAGATTTAGGACCAGTACTGCGGGCCAGACTTAAAGATTTTGTAGGCATTTGACACTCATTGTTTATGGGAAAAGTTAAACAAAATTATAACAGTCTGTCACACCTGCCACAAACTTAAACCTCTAAATAGAAACAACCCTTGGCTCAATTTGTTGAGAAAGGTATAGTTTTATTAGAAATCTAGTGCACTGCAATAGTGCATAGCCAGAATTGTGCGAATAGCACGCCAAAATCCCTAAGTTCCACTTTTCCCTCCCTTAGCTATGTCCAGTCACTGCTCCCCCAATGACCAATCAGGCTCAAGCAAGATGTTTTCAGAATGGTCACTTCCAAGGTAGGTTGGTACGTAGCTGTGATTTTTTTTTCCCAGCCAGGTGACCCTGAAACACTGTTTTGGGGAGATAAAGCAAGCAGTGTTGGAGGAGGAATGCAACAGTTACTCTCACTTTCACCAAGCAGCCTTTACTTTCACTTTCCCCAAACATTCCCCCCTTGCCCCCCATCCATATAGTCATGGCAGACTGTCACCGCATGGTATCGAAGCACAAGAGAGCATGAGGTGGCAGCTGACACAGTCCCTTATGCATTTGGATTGATTTTAAGACCACTATAATCACTTTGGTAGATTTTTTGCTGAGAGCTGAATGGGTTGAGTGCCCTACTCTCTTGAAACCTCTTGCTGGCATTTAATCCCATGCTATCCTTATGGACTCTCCAATAGAGTTGAACTTTAGTGGCATTATTCAAGGTGATTCCAGACTTTCTCAGTGTAAAAGCCAAAGGGAGATTGTTTAGTACAAGCAATACGGTGTTCTATATGGCTCTGTCTGGGCCTTTTTCATTTATTTAATATTCTGTATGAATTGCTAGGATGAATTCATCCAGAATTTTAGAAAGAGGCACCATCAGTATCACATCTGATACTGTATAGTAATCTGAGTGCAAGGAACTTCTAGATGTGCTCAAACATCTTCCTCAATATCAAGTTAGAGAAGTAAATGGAATCTAAATCAAGGCAATGTTAAACCAGTCAATCAACTGAAGAGGTAGATTGAAATTTGGGGATTGTATTGGTTTTGTATGCCCTGGTTTGAAGTTCAATGTTACCGGAGAAGAAGCTTCACAAAATTAGGTTAACAACTCTTAATGCCTTTTTGGCAATGTTGTTACAGTAAGCTCTGGGGCTTAGGTCTTTTGAAATGAGTACCCCTAGGTCCTTGACAGAGTGAGGGCTGTCTATGAGATTGTATCCTCCCAGTTTGTATTTAGTGTTCTGATTTTTGTTGCCAATGTGTAAGACAGAGCATTTGTTGGTTGAGATTTGGAGTTGCCAATTGTTTGACCATTCTGACACATAGTCAAGGTCGCTTTATAGGACAGCAGCATTGTCAGTGATGTTAAATAGTTTTACGTCATCAGCGAAGAGGACACAGTTGCTTTTAATATGATCGCAGAGGTCATTTATGTAAATTAGAAAGAGAGTGGGTTCTAGAACTCTGCCTTGGAGGATACCGCTGTTAACTAGAACTGGGTTTGATAGGGCATTCCTTATTTTGACTACTTGTTGCCTATTTGACAGAATTTGCAGCTATCCATTTGTGTAGTGATCCAGAAATGCCGTAAGAGCAGTTTTAACAGTAGTTTGTCATGTACTACTGAATCAAAGGCTTTGCAGAAGTCTATGTAAATTGTGTCTATTGCTTTACTCTGGTCGAGTTGTGTAGTTCAAATGTTTTTGCAGTGTAGGAGTTGTAGATTACAGGACAAAGTTTCCCTGAAACCAAACTGTTAGAGAGTAGGTTGTTTGTCTCCAAGCGGAGGGTAATGGATTAGTTGATGATTGATTCCATGACTTTAAAGGCAGGTGACACAACATAATGAAATTGGTCTGTCATTTTCAACTAGGCTGGGGGTCTCCCTTTTTGAAGATAGGAATGACTATGTCTAATGACCATAGGTCGAACAAAGTGCTAGATCTAAAAGATATCTCGTAGATTGTGCTTAGTAGTTCAACTATGGCAGTGGAAAGCTTTTTTAAGAAGTAGGCACATAATCCACCAGGGCCAATAGATAGAGACGGTTTTAGTTTGTGTAGTGCCTTTTCAATGTTATCTTCTGTAAAATCAATATGTAGTAGATCATTGCAATTAGTTGTGGTACGATTAGGAAATGTGGGGCATGAGCCATTGCTGTTGACAAAGACAGAAATATTGTTTTAGCATTTTTGTCTTTTTAAAACAAATATGTGTTATTGCTCTGCCTTGATGAATGTTGTTGTGGACTACAGTAATTACTTTAAAAAATGTTAATATATAATCACAGTAGAACAGATAAAATTATTTTGGTATTTATTTTATTCATTAAAAATTTAAAACCAGATTTTCCCAGAGCAGTTTACCATACTGAGATATCATACATTATATGTATTGGTTACTGTTACAATAAAAACATGTATTTTGTAGGCAAAAGGTGGAATACAGCTAGTGCGTATCTTCGTCCTGCTTTATCACGTCCAAACCTGTCTGCAGAAGTCAGTACACTTGTTACCAAAGTTTTATTTAAGGGGACCAAAGCAATTGGTATTGAGTATATTAAAAATGGAGAAAAGAAAAAGGTAAGGATGTACAGTATTCTTTCTTTCATTCTGAAAAGAAAATCAACTAGCAATCAACTTGTACTAACTTTGCATTTCTGGCTCTACAATTGGAGTTGTAGTAAAGCTTCTTTTCTTGTTGAAATAAGAGCAAAATACAACTGACACTTCAAATCCATCTCACATATTAATCTCAATAAAGCACTGCAGTAACCTGATCAAAATATAATGGGTACCACTCCATTCTGCAGATGGGGTTAATTTCAGTTTCCCCTTTATGTTGGCTTTTAAGTTAGTAGAGTTTCCCCCTCCCTGCCCATAACTTCTAGAAATGAAATCCATACTGGTTTGAAAATAGGTATTTCTTTCGTTGAGGGTCCTATCATTCTAATATTTTAGAGAGAGAGAGAGAGAGAAATCTGTATTTACTAAGTTCTAATACTTTCCTTCAAACGTCTGAGTAATTTTTTAAATACTTCTTGTGACATGTGAACCAAACTAGAGCATATGAGAAGGAGGAACCAAAAGCAAGGAAAAAATCAAGAATAGAAACAAAAACAATTAGCCATTGTAAGAATCACAACAAAATTTACTGTTATTTAATGGACTCATAAACCAGATGACAAAGAACAAATACTATGGTAACCAGCATAACACTACCAATAGCACTTAGACTTATATACCGCTTCACAGTACTTTACAGCCTTCTAACCGGTTTACAGTATCAAGATATTGCCCCCAATAATCTGGCTCCTCATTTTACATTGGAAGGATGGAAGGCTGGGTCAACTTTGAGCCCATCAGCATCAAACTCCAGACTGAGGGCAGAGTTTGCATTCTAACCATTGCGCCACCAGGACTCTGTAAATGCAATTACATGATCAACAGATTTGACAATTTTAATGAATCTTCAGGTTTTTTTCCTTTGATAATTGACATTTTGCTATCTTGAACTGCCCTACTGTTTTGAATGCCCTTTCACTACATTAAGTTGGAGCTTTCATAGATACTTTAACATGTTTTGAGTTATTTTATTTAGTGATATCAGCAACTCTGGATGCAATTCTTTCACCTCTGGGTCCAGCTCATTTATTAATAAGTTCAAATGCAATAGTTCCAGGCTTAAAATTAGAAAATCTTAATGGTAACTTCTTGTCAATTGTAAACATAGTTTATTCCTGCTCTTTCTTTAAATAAAAAAGGCAGCTCACAAGACAAATTGTTTTCCTATGCTATAATTGCAGTAGTATAAAATGTAGCGTGGAAGTTTTTGAAGAATGCATTACATTGTTAAAATTGTACTATGGAATTAGCCACACTATAAATGGATAAGTCTAGCTATATCTTTCAATGCTATATTGTTTTCAGTTGCACTGTTCCTTGTAGACCACTATTATTATTTCAGTGTTTAGCAGGAACTGTAATAAAATACACTAAAACTTAATAATTGTAAACTTTAAATTAGAAAGGATGATAACAGATGTCTGAAGGAAAAGCGATCATCTTTTTGGAATAACTCTTTTTCAGAGAAATAAAGGGTATCATTAGTCATTTGCAGATTTGTGCTGCCAGATGACTGACTATTCAATAGAAGAATGCGAGAACCCAGTATTTTTTTTTTGATCTTCAGAATGTTAATTCTTTTGGGTTGATGATATATGATACAATTATTCTTTTGATTGATGATACAAAGCAAACATTTATTTTAATGGGATTATTTGAGTAATGGGGGATACATTTTAGGGGGAAAAGAGGCATTTGAAAGGAGAACAATACATTGTTTGCACTAATAAAAGCCTTTGATTCAGTATTACGTTTTGAAGAATAATTTATGTTAACAAGGAGAAAAGTGTAGCAAATAAGTTTGGATGGAGAGGAAATATTAGCATTGCTTAAGAGGAAAGTTTACTTAAAAATATATGATAGAGCATATTTTAATAATTTCAAACTGTTGAAATTACAAAACTTCTAGATATAACACAAAGAGTATGAAAACTGCGGGCTACAAATCAATAACATTATTTTGTATTGACTTTATTCTATCAAAATTTAGTCTGCTTACATTGCTATTATTTTATTTCAGGTTTTTGCTAGTAAGGAAGTTATTTTAAGTGGTGGCGCCATAAATTCTCCACAGTTACTTATGCTATCTGGAGTTGGGAATGCGGATGATCTTAAAAAATTAGGAATCCCTGTTGTCTGCCATCTTTCAGGTGTGTATGATAGATTCAGTATAGCTCCATGTAAGGTTGTGTTGGATTTGAAAGTAAAAGGTGTTTGAGATGTTCACATAGCCTCTGCCAAGAACTCCTTAAGTCAGCATTGTCTTGTCTTAGGGTGATATGAATTCCCTTCTTAGTAGTCACATAATCCTAGGAACGGCCAATTTCATTTACAGAGTTGCAGACAAGTGCTGTGTAGGCACCCGCGGGCATTTGAAAGGCCTTTCTGCTTTTGAAACCAAAAGCTGTGCTGCATTCTCCCAATTCCATATACTGTATTTATAAGTATAGTTGTAAATATTTGTAGTGTATATATATATATATTAGACATTTCTTGTCATTTCTACTAGGAGTTGGCCAGAATCTCCAAGATCATTTGGAAGTGTACATACAGCATATGTGCACTCAACCTGTGACGCTGTATAAATCACAAAAGCCTCTTCAGATGATCAAAATTGGTCTTGAATGGTTCTGGAAATCCACAGGTATGATTTAGAGTTATATATCTTGTTCTGTTTACATTTGCTAGACATATAAAATCAGGTTTTAAAATAAAGCTTTAATGAACATGTCCATTCATAATTGTTTTTTCTTGTAGATGATTCATTTGACACATTTTCATTCCAGATAAGGAAATCAAGGGTTTTTCAGAATTTCAGACTATGTTTACAAGTAGCTTTGTTCCATTGGATTTTTTTTAAAAATGCATAGTTGTTAAATCTCTTGTAACAAACAGGAAGTTCCTGTTTCTAGAAATTCTTTAGAATTCTAAGATTTGTTGCAGCAAGACAAAGAATGGTTAGAATAGAAGCACAAATAGCTATTGTTACTGTTTTATAACAACACTGGTTTTCTTGTGTGCTGATCAATAATTCTTAATAAAGTACTGTCACTATTCCATGTTAATAACTTAACATTTTCAAGTGCAATAATTTTATGACAGCTATGGCAATTTAAAATAAATTAATATGAATGTATTATATATTTTAAAAATATTTTAAAATCATCAAATAATATATAAAAGCAATTATATCTGATTACAAAGTACATTTCATGTTATAAGTTCTAAGGTGAAAAGAAAACCTGTTTGAACTGTGAATGCTTTCATGATAAATAAGACATGCTCTTTATTTCATAAGGTATAATATGATTTGGGTTTGTTTTGAATTAACATATGTGACTCTTAACACTCTTGCTTCGTAAACCATATTTTGTGCTATCATGTTACTTATGACCGAGGCCACTGTGGCTTGTTCAACAAATTATGGCTTACAAGATGCATCATCTAACAAGTAACAGTCCCAAAAGCAGGCGATAATTATGCCCTGCAAACTAGACTCCAACCACAAAGGTAATGAGACTCAGACACAACTTTTACTGTGTATGATGAAAGTTTAAAACAGAATGTAATATAAAATACAGGGAATGTAAAATGATTTTTTGAAATCCTCATGCTTCCATTTTCATTAATTAAGTATCTGGTGTTTGGTGTTCCATCTTTCAGGAGAAGGAGCCACTGCCCATTTAGAAACTGGTGGATTTATAAGAAGTCGTCCGGGCATTTGTCACCCAGATATCCAATTCCACTTCCTCCCTTCTCAGGTGATTGACCATGGGCGAGTTGCTTCACAGTTGGAAGCTTATCAGGTGAGTAGTAATATGAATTACTGCATACAATGCCCACTGGACAGAAATATTTTCCTGGAATGTATTTGTTCATTTGTTTGTATAATTAAAGAACCATATTTGGAAATAATTCCCAGTCCCTTTGTTGGTGGGACAAAGGCTTAACCAGAGATGACGTAGGTTCTCTTTCAATTAGTATACAATGTAATTCATCCTATAACTCTAAGAAGACACCTTCCCATTGTAAAGGGTTTTGTGAATCTCTTGTGTTTGTTAATCAATATTAAACAAACTACCCTCATTTGAATATAAGAGCTCCAAATTAACACAAGATGTGACTGACTTCAAAGCCAGTGTGTAATGAAAGACATAGAAACCAAGCTTTGAAACCTGGAATAATTGTCTGAATCAACCATTGCAGTGTCTCAATAACCCACGAAACCCCAAATTTCTATGAATCCCGTTAGTTATTCTATAATGAACCCCTAAATGCCATATAACATGGATCTTTTTGGATTGTTACAGGTCCATGTTGGGCCTATGCGAAGTACCAGTGTAGGAAAGCTGAAGCTGAAGAGTTCAGACCCTACTGAGCATCCAATCCTTGAGCCTAATTATTTGTCAACAGGTAAATGCAGAATTATCTATATTCTAGTCTTTGTTTTTTTCCAGCTTGGAAATTAAGCTCACCTTCTATAGTTACCCTCACAATATAGACAATTACACCTTCTATAGACAATGGCATAGTGCAGTGGTTCCCAAAATGGGTGGTACCGCCCCCTGGGGGCAGTGGGATGCCTTAGGGGTGTGCTGAGAGGCAAGGGGGCTGGCAGGGGGGTGCTAAGAGGCAGCAGGGGGGCACTGGAGGTGAGCAGCGGGGCACAATTCAGGGGTGAGAAAAAATCCTGCCGCCACCGCGTTCAAGGCAACGTCCTGTAGGATCATCCCATTGACTTGCACGCTTTGGTGCAAGGAGCTCCGCCCCGAATGCAGCGTTGGGAATCAGAGAGCAAAGCCAGAGTGGCTTTGCTCTCCTTTTCAAACATCCCACTGCCACGTTCCACTCCATTGAGCCCCTTGCACCGGAGGCACCTGCCCAAGCAAGTCTGAACGGAACGGTGCACAAAATCAATGGGGTGAGCCTGAGAGAGGGAAAGAGAGAGGAAAGAGAGAGAGAGAGAAATGGAAGAAGAGAAAGAGAAAAGGGAAAGAAAGAAAAAGGGACAAAGAAAGGGGGGATGGAAGGAAGGGACAGAAAGAAAAAGAAATAAAGAAGGAGGGAGGGAGAAGAAAGATAATGAGATATCTATTCTAGTCCAATCACCTGTTCCAGCAGGGTTAGAAGGGAGTGTGTGTGTGTGTGTGTTCTCATAATTTACCAATACATTTTGGTTTTGATTTCTTCAGAATTGGCACTGTAATACATTGGGGAAAAGTAATTTTTTAGAGTGGAGATCTGGTCCAGTGGATCCTGTTTAAAGCCTCAACAAAATGTGAGAGCTTCCTGATAGTCTTGGCCATGTTTCATCCATAAAACCTTTAATTAATAGAAGCCAAAGATGTTTCAATGTGCTGGCAAAGATGCTGGCAAAGATGTTTCAGTGTGGAAAAGGGCCTCTTAACTAGGCCTCATTTCAATCTGATGCATCAGGTCTCTCTCTCTCTCTCTCTCTCTCCCTCTCTCACACCCTCCCCCCTCCATCCCTCCTCCTTTCTTTGTCCCTTTTTCTTTCCCTTTTCTCTTTCTTTTCTTCCTTCTCTCTTTCTCTCTTTTCTCTCTCTCTCTTTTCTTCTCCCAGGCTCACCCCATTGATTTGGTGCACCGCTCCGCTCGAACTTGCTTGGGCAGGTCCTTCCAGTGCAGCAGGCTCAATGGGGTGGACCTGCGGGGCCGGCACCTAGAACGCGGCAGTGCCGGCATGTTTGAAAAGTAGAGCAAAGCCACAGGTTGGTAATTTTTGCTGCGAAGAATCACAAAAGCTTCTGGGTTGTGCACAAGAAGGGACACACATGTCAATGCAATTCAGCAACATAAAATAAAGAAATACAAATAAATCAACAAGAATCGTCAAAGCATCTCTGATTAGATTTTATTCACTACTAGAATCTAATCAGAGATGCTTTGTTGATTCTAGTCCAATGACCTGCTCTAGCAGGGTTGGAAGGGAGTATGTGTGTGTGCATGGCTGTCAAAACTCCAAAAACAGGTCAAGTAGTTCTGGGGAAACCAGTCAAAAATTAGAACACTTGCTAAGCAACCAGCCATTAAGTGAGGACCACTTGTATCTGGTTTGCCAGTCACCAAACCACGCCCACCCAGTCACGTGACCAGCAAGCCATGCCACCAGTCACATGACCAGCAAGCCACGCACACCCAATCACGTTACCAGCAAACCACACCCTCAAATTAGGCCACACCCACAGAAATTTGAATCCTGCCCCTGGGTGGGGGGCATTGAGGATGAGTTTGTAGCACCAAGGGGGCAATGGACTGAAAAAGTTTGGGAACCACTGGCATAGTGCACTGGTAGTCTTATTTTGATGGCATTTCCTATTTCTTTGTATCTTCCTTCAGTCCCGAACTTTGTCAAACATGGAATAGTGACTGTATTATCTAGTAAAGGTTATCCTTTGCCATGTGTAAAATGAGTCCAAGTACTGTTTTCCCATTATATCTAAGTCTCCTGTTCTCTAAAAGTTTGTCAGGATTGTCAGACACAGTAATTCATCGAGTAGTATCCAGAAAGCGAGGCTTGTTTTTTGCTGCACCTGCCCTGGGGCATACAGACAGTCCTTGTTCAACAACTCATTTAGGGACAGCTTGCAATTACAGCAGTGATGAAAAAGTAACTTCACCTCCGGTCCTCACATTTACAAGCTTTTTATATGATTGTAAAGCAAAGGAAACCTCAAATAAGATCATAAGCACAATCCCAGTTTGACTTAACGACCGCTTCGCTTAATGAGTACATTGCTGATACCAATAAAGGAGTTTCTCAAGGACTACCTGTAAGCATCTCTCCAGAGATTCATACAGCCCTCCCATTTTAAGTGCCTTAAAAACGTAACTCTTCCCACCTACTTTGACTTACTATAAGGATCAGACCTCTTTTAAGATGGGGAAGGGGCTCAGGAGCAACTGGCCAGAGTTTCTCCTCTTAACTAGCCAGAACCTAAAGCAAATTTTTATTCTTGGATTCAGATTTTCATTTGTTTGGGGTTGAAATGCCAGTTATCGCAGTTTGGAAAGAAACAAATCAAGGACCAGGGGTTTTTAGCTCTGTTTTCATTAATGAAGAAATATGTTCTCTGTTTAGATCATGATTAATCAGGATTGCTAAGGCAGTGCACTTTGATGTGTTTGTTCAATCTTACTGAGCAATTTGGAAAAATGCTGGCTTATTTAATGTCCAAACAAGGTCAGAGACTTCATTATGCTGGAGTTTTCAGACATTCCAGTTTAACTGGATTTCCTTATGCAAAAAGTTGCATACTTAAGGCCAGCATCTCCTTTGTGCATGGAGGTCTAGTACACATGTGAGGAACCCCAATTTGTTTCTATGGAAGAAAAAAATGCACATCACAAGGCTGGGCATCTGAAATTGTTATGTTGAGCCATTATGACTTTAAGTCTTGCAGATATTTAAAAAATAAACGTTTTATGGCACATACTTTTGTGGATTGTAATCCATCAGTTGCATAAAATAAACTCTCACTGCATCTTCTTCATTTCATTTCATGTCATAACTTTAAAATTAAATAATTATTTCCTTTAACAGGGATCATTCACAAAACATTTATTGCAGAAATCCTTGCATAGCTGAGCTAATGAACAAAGATGGGATGATTAAAAGCTGTTGTCTACTCAAGGAAATAGAACTGAACCTTTTAATTATATTACAATAAAGCTATCCTTATAGGCTTTTGTGTAGTTGTTGCCATTCTGAATTTCATTTCTTCTTATCCTATTGTTGATACGCCAATTGTAGGGATGTGGGGATGTACCTGTGTGTGTGTAAATTTACATCAGAATGATATACATTTGAAATAATGTTGGTTATTTTTGCTACAACAAATCATTAGGACTTCCTTTTGGGAATAAAGAATTACCTGGATGAAGGATTAAATATCCAAAGAGCTATTTCAAAATTGCTATTCTGCTAAATGTTCTGTACAGGAAACCAATTTTCGTCATTTTATATTCAAAATTTTCTTTCTTTTATGGTGAATTGATACTAAAATACAAAAGCAACCTTACCTGCCTTTCCTGTATCTTAGGATGTGTCATTTTTACACTGAATTGTTGTCTGAAAAGAAAAGAATGTAGCATTAATATTCATGTTGGTTATACACAGAATCATTGTGGCTTTGTTTTCTTTTTTCTTTTAACAGAAATAGATGTCTGGGAGTTTCGCCAGTGTGTGAAATTAGCTAGGGAGATCTTTGCTCAGAAAGCATTTGAAGAATTCCGTGGACCTGAGATTCAACCAGGGGAACATATTCAGTCTGACAAAGAAATAGATGCTTTCATAAGACAAAAATCCGATAGTGCCTATCACCCTTCGTGCACTTGCAAAATGGGGCAGAATTCTGATCCTATGGCTGTGGTTAATCCTGAGACCAAAGTTATAGGCACAGAAAATTTAAGAGTAGTTGATGCCTCAATAATGCCCAGTATTGTTAGCGGGAATTTAAATGCCCCAACCATCATGATAGCAGAGAAGGCTGCTGATATTATCTTGGGATTACCACCGCTTCAAGACAAAAATGTTCCTGTATATAAACCCAAAACTCTGGAAACTCAGCGTTAACTTTTTGCTATGCCACCATACGAGAAGTTTGGCCTACTTTTCCTGTATAAAGTGTAGCATCACATGATATGTTTTTTCTATACCATTAAATCAAATCTACTTTCAATGTCAAGAAAAAAGATGTACAATAGAAATGATGCTTTACTTCAGTTAATATTGATTAATAATAGATGATTGGAAGCATCTGATTAACTTCAGAATTGTTATAAATAGACATTTGATGCATGCACAGTAAATTTTTGCTGAAGAATGGCAGTCAGATTCTGTACATTAGAACAAAACAGTGGAAGAAAAAATAACAAAAATAGAATGTAGTTTATGGCTTTTGATTTGATGGGCTAATTCATTTCATATTTTGATTGGAAACATCTGATTAACCACAGAATTGTTATAGATATTTGATGGTATGCGCAGTAAATTTTTACCACAGAATTGAAGTCAGATTCTGCACATTAATACAAAACAGTGGAAGGAAAAATAAATTTCATATTTTGCTTATTTTCCACATCCAGTCTAAAGATAAGGGAAAATAGAAATGTATTTTTTTTCTAGTATACAAGGCAGCATTTAATCTCAGAATGAAATAAAATTGTCATTCTAAATAGCTGAAGCAGAATTATGTTCAAGTTAGACCTCTTTGACCTATATTCTGTATCTTGTGCATTAGGGTCATTTTTTTTTCAATTGTCAATAAAGAATAGAAAAGGATGGAAGTCATACTAAAGTGATGCAATGATTTTAGTAGAAATAATCATGATTAAATTTTGCTGCTTCTGCTTTGCAAAAATATTTTATTTCTGGAATAAAAAATTCTAATTAATATAGTTATTGTGTTTAGCCTCAGGTTTTTTTTATTTTGTTTTGCTCTCTTTTACTATAGGCATTACTATAATTTATTTTGTCTTGTTTAGATACATTAAGAGAGTAATAAATGCCTTGTACTGAATTGGTCTCATTAAGCAAGATTGTTTGCCTCCTTAATTGAAAACTACCGGAAGTTGACTTTAATCAGCAGAACAACTGAGAAATGTTCTGTTAAAAATGGCTAATCAGCTAACCCATAGGAGGATGGATTTAGTAGTGAACTAACTCAGTTACACAGAAGGTTAAACTAATCAATGAGTTGTATTATAGGAACTTCTAAACTACATTTTTGTATGCGTAGGCCTCCAGAAAAAGAGAGAAAGAGCAATAAGATGGAATAAGATGGGTAGGTAGACTGAGACTGAAGAATTCTAATATGCAACTACCTACATGCATCAGGGCAAATATTATTTAAGAAGAGCTCATGGTTGTCCTGATCCAATGGAGGCATGAAAATTGAAATACTCCAGCATAAACAGCTGAGCGGATTCAAAATCCAACTCTGCAATTTCAGGAAGAGATTAGCCATGCAGCCTGGCAACAAGCATGATTCCCTATTTGTTTCTACAGCCTGATCTCCACACAGATACAATATCACCTTAGAGTGCCTTTGATTACCATCAAGGTTTCTATGAGTATCACAACCATCCTCCTTCCCTTTCCTTAGAATCATGAATAGTGAAGAACTCAGAATCTTGGAGAGCCTGTCTCTAAAAGGTCAGTTCACACAGCCAGGTTTCAGTAATGTGCACCAGCTTAGTTGTCCATCCACTGCCAGAATTTGAACGGCAAGCTCCATAATGTATAGCTTCCTTGACTTGACCTGAAACTACTACACTTTTCTTTTTCCTTTCCCCTCCAGTTACCTAAATGCCATCCTCCCTGCCTTTCAGCCAACCACAGACATTGTCTTAGACTTGGAGCTTATCTTTGCCCTGCTCCCCAAGAGTAACCTGCTTAAGTTTGATCTCAGTCAAATAACCCATTCTCCCTTCTCCATTCCTTCTAATTTTACCTGATCCAGTTTTTACCTCTCTCTGACGCGAGTTTAGAGGATCAATCCCAATTTCACTTTGGGGAAGAGGGCTATTGTCAGTCATTCCCTGCTTCTCATTCAGGGTAGCTCCTGTTACATCATCCCCAAGGGCTTCAACAGGGTTGAACAGGGCAAAACCCCCAAGGGTTTGACAGGGCAAAACCTGTCACTATTTTGTGGTCCTTCTATGGCTTGCTAAGACCCTGTACATTCCATCAACAGTCACATCGATCTACATTCAGCCTACCAAGCCCTTAGAATTCAAATCAAACACAAGCCAAACAGAAACAGTACTGACTCTCAACCAACCCATGCAAGCCCATTCCCATCCAGCCCTTTATCTCCCTCACCTAATGTAACAATCCCATCACAAGACTCTCACTAGTGACCCATATCTAACCCATCACAAAACCCACCACAACAGTGGTATTTTTTTACTTCTGGTTCTGTGGGTGTGGCTTATTTGGTGGGCATGGCTTAGGATCACGTGACTGGGTGGGCCTGGCTTGGTGGCTATGTGACCGGGGGTGGCCATGTGACTAGATGGGCGTGGCCTGGTGATCATGTGACTGGGTGGGTGTGGCCAACTCATTGTCACTCACGTCAAGGGGTGCCTCGCCTGGCCCCTCCCCTCCCAGCCATTCCTTGTCATACCCAGCCTCAACATATCTATAGTTCTGTAAAAATATTGTTCACCTGTTTTTGACTTTGAAGTCCACAAGTCTTAAACTTGCCAAGTTTGACTAGAAGATTACCTCCAAGATCCCTTCCAGCCCCAGATTGCTGTGCTGTTTCAAAGAGTCTTCTGAAGCCAGGGTTTGTGTCCTTCCTTCCTCTCCTTTTTTTTCTCTCTCCCCCACTCCTTCCTTCCATGTATCTATCCATCCACTCATCCATATAGCTTTCATTTTCTCCTCCCTCCCTTCCTCCCTCTTTCTTTCTTTGTCTCCCTTCCTTCTATCCCATTTTTGTCTATCCCTTTTCTTCCTTTCTCTCTTTCTTTCTTTCCCTTTTCTTTCTTTTCTTTCTTCTCTCTTCTCTTTCCCCCTCCCTCTTTCTCTCTTTCCCTCTCTCCCTCCCTCTCTCTTTCTCCCTCCCTCTCTCTTCCCCTCTCTCTTCCTCTCTCCTTTCCCTCTAGGAAAGGAGGCCCATCTGAAACACACACAGGCTTCCAAGTGCCCGGCAGAATCTCTCATTACAAGGGTTCATCCCAGCCAGCCTCCTGTCCTGCATTGCCTGAAAAATACTTCCTCCCCTCCCGCTTTTGGGGCTGGGAAATTCAAGCGAGGCGTGTGCTGCAGCCTCGCCCCCACCCCTACCAGCAGCTCTGGGCTAGGCAGCTTTCTCAACTGCCTGAATCCTTACCTTCCTTCCTTCCACACTGAAAAAAACACAGCACTTCTCCAACCCGCTGAGGCCGCCACTGCATTCTAGCCACCGGCCACGCAGGTCTACCCCATTGAGTCTGCTAGTGCAGCACTCCGACAGAGGTGGTTGAAAACAACTTTTTTCACTCCCAGCCACCCTTTTTTCAAAGCAACTGGATGGACGGCTGCTCCCTTCCTTCTCTGCCTGTTTGTTTTATATGGCTGAGGAGGAAGAGAGTAGTAAGTTGGATGGGAGAGGCTTCTGGCGCTGCAAAAGAGGTGGTTGGAAATGGCTTTTTTTCAGACCCAGCCACCCCTTTTTCAGCGCAACCAGATGGATGGCTGCTCCCTTCCTTCTCTGCCCATTTGTTCTATATGGCTGAGGAGGAAGAGAGTAGTCGGCCGTTTGGGAGAGGCTTCTGGCTAGAGGCGCATCCACCGGGAGAAGCATGCTCCAGATGGATAGGCAGGTGGGTGGATGTCCCAGGGCCGCTGCATATGCGCACTGCATATGTAGTGGCTGCACTCACAGTGCGCATGTGCAGCAGCTGCGGGACATCCGCCTGAGCTGCGCCCAGCCAACATGTGGTAGGGAAAGCTAGGAGAGTGACTGGGGCAAGTGAGCAACCGGGTAACCAGGTTGGGGGCATGGCCAGCCAGGGGTCACCACCGGTTCGGTGACCTACACCAAATCACTGCTACTGGTTCACCCGAGGCGGTGCGAACCAGTTGAATACTACCTCTGCACCACAAGACCTTCACTTAACACACTCACACCTGACCCATCACAAGACCCTGGTCTGATATGACCCTCACCTGATGTGATCACCATCACAGGACCTACTGACTATATAAAGCCCTTATAAACAGAACACTGACATCCCTTAAAGTCTGCTGAAGATGTTACCCAGCCTGATAATGAAAAGTTCAGAAACCAACCCACAAGCTCAGAGAACGAACCTCCACCCTCACCCTATACATTGCCCAGATTCACTAGTGAGATTTTCAGACCAGCTTTCATTGAGGCATCAAACACTTTTTGGCTGTCGATTCTGGAAAAATGAATTAATGCCTGCAGAATCCCATAGTTCAGACACAGAACTTTGGGGCCAAAAGAAATCACCAATCTTTAGAATTGCATATGTTGGTAAAAAGAGACAAAATATAATAACTTTATTACACAATTTTATTCTCAGTAACATTTTGCATTTATTTTCATATAAAATGATGTAGGTCAAGAAATGATATACAAACCTTTAAATTCTCTCCTGACACTTGAAAGAAGAGGTTTGTA